GCAGTTGTTCCCTGGAGTACTATGGTGTGAAGAAAGACAAGCCCATTGGTTAATAAAAGTCAATGATGGTGCAACATTATTGCTCCTTCATACAAGTAGATTGGGATCGTGAACCTTGTCATTTAAACATCATGATTAGAAGTGGAAGTTCTTTCAAGATGTGAGAATATGAAGACTCAGAGTTTGGTCAAGGTAGTATGTTCTGGCAATACATATCTGCTAAGAAAGTCAGCATAAGTCTGATTGGAGTATGAACAGGTATAACTCTTGGAGTTACTTGAATTTGGTAGGGATGTCATATGTCATGTCAAGAGATTTGCGTACAATGCATGGATATTTTGTGTGGAGCTTCCATGATTGGTAGTTTGAGGGGGAGAGTTGGTTAACCTCCTCACATTAGTTCAGCCTGGTGTTTAGCTGGCTGTTGACCTATGTCACATGGGCTCTGGGTGTGGTGTGACATATTTGCAAGGAAGGATTCATCTCTCATTCCTGAGGATGAATCTGATCTGGAAGGATTTAAGATCTATTGCTATTTGTGACAAGTACAAGTATTTAATTGATTATCCTTGAAGTTCAAGATAACCGATGTTCTTAAAGATGTGGGAACATTCTTTCTTCTAGATCCTGTGAAAGATCACAGGAAGAGTGATGCTTTAGAGCTATCTCTTTGGTGACAGCAAAATCATTTGATCTTTGAAAAGATTTCCTGGAAACATGTTCAGACTTGAAGCTTCAAGAAAAAGAAGACATCATAATCTTGATGATGGTTACTTGGATCAGTCTGGTTCTGATCTAGGTAAGGAAGTGAATTAGCTAATGGTAAAGTCAAGAAGAAGTGGCATAAGGAGGAGCTGAATTCAACAACTAGATGTTATAACATAATGTTGTGACATTTGGTTCAACATCAGATTCTTAGTTGGTGAAGTGGCACATCAACTTAAGACAGGATAATCTACGAAGTTGAAGATTGGATACTTCAAAAAGATCGTCTCTTTGCAACTCTGTGGAGTTGTTGGGTGGAGAAGATGTTACATGTTCCTGTCTTTGTGTATCTAAGCCTTTTGTGATAACTTGTAGCTTGAAGTTCAAACTTCAATTGGAAGATCAGAATATCTCTGGCAGAAGTCTGAGAAACATGGAGAAGTCAAAAGGTGGCATTTGATTTCCTCTTATGAGGATTCATGAAGGAGATAATCAACATGTGGCAGCTGAGAGAGCATGAATCAGAGTATGGATGTTCTGACTTGTTGTGATGCTATGATCAGAAGAAGGTTGACTTAGACCAAGGATGTTCTAACTTGTTCTAAAGAAAGGTTGATTCAGAGTATGGATGCGTTCAACCAATATAATTGAACAGAGGGTGCGCTCTTGAAGACATGAAGATGCGTCTTATGTTTTCCATTCATCAAGGGGTCTTATTCACTTTGAATCAGAAGCTGCATTGAAGGTCCAACTGAGTATTGAATGTGTCCTACTTGTTTCCATGAGGAGAAGTGATTGGCCCTAACAGGGGGAGTATTGGTTTGTACAAAAGGTCTTCATCAAACTTGTAGGATATAAAGTGTGGCACCTTATTAACTATTGGAATGATGTGTTCAAAACTGAAGAAGACTATGTCTGACCAAATGTCATCACATCGGTAATGACATTGTTCCTAATTTCCTCTAAAACTACAGACAGGAGGAAAATTGGATGAAGTATGGATTATTACTAATAAATCCATGTGGAGTAACCATCCACTTTGAGAAAATGGAATGGCTTCAAGCTGCTAAATCTGAAAATAGCGGAATGTATAACGACATAGGATTTGAGCATGTTTTCATCTGCTAAGAAAACAGAGCTGTTGTGTCTCATTATGAAACAGTTTAGTGAGCTGGAATGTTTAGGTGATAACTTATCATCTAATAAAGGTATTATATAACTAATGCAGAGTGTAATGTACCAACGATGTTTCTTGGGAAGGGGATCCTAAGACAAGGGAGCAGTCTGTTCTAAAAGACAAATGCCTGTTTTAAAAGGGCATCCTGACATGGTCAAAGGGTCAAACCCAAGGGTAGGTACCTGCATTAAAACCAGTCCTAGGGCACTGAAACTGTCAGAGTAAAGTACCAAGGTCGTTACTATCTATGCCAAAGTTGCATTATTTATGAAGACTCTCTCTATTCCTTCTCTTCATCAGAGGGTTTCAGCAATATGAAGTTTGTTAGCATCTGGGAAAATTGTGCATGGGTATGGATCTGTATGGGCAGTCTTTGTCAAATTCTGGCCAAAAAGGGGGAGAAAGATAGGGACTCAGGTGAAAGCCACAGAAGGCAATGTCCAGCAAGACTCAGGAGAAAGCAACATGATCCATAAGTAAGTAACTTTGGTTGTGTCTTGTGTTCTGAGTTAAGAGGATAGTTGTGACTTGTGATCTGAGTTACATGATCACAAGTAATAATCTGGAGAAAAGAAATCCTCTTGGGGCATCGATGGAGTGGAGTTGCTCACAGTTGACGACAGAGGTGTGTTGTTTGCTCAAAGGACGTCAGCCTCTACAAAAGAAGATGTTAGACAAGATGTTGTAACATCTCAACTGTGTTGTGACCTGGTCCCAAAATACAACTTGCACTTATTTGTTTTAGCCAAAATTTGCCAAAGGGGGAGATTGTAAGTGCCCTGGCTGGAGAGTTGGCTTCATTTGTAAAACAAATAAGAAAGCAAGTTTACCCAGATCCCCTCTGTTGTTTTAATATGTGGTGTTGAAGAAGTTCAACATCTGGACCAACATGTTAGATGTAATGTCATGACATCTGTCTTGACATCATGATAACGGAATTGGTAATTCAGTTACAGTTCTGGTACTTAAATATTCTGAGAATATATGTGGCGTTTCTTATGGAGAATCTGAAGATCAATCAAGAATCAATCAGAATATTTGAAGAAAATACTGTTTCTAAATATGGAGATATTTTAGGAACTAGAAGTTTGAAGACCTTGATTGTAGCAGAAGTTTGTTGCTGAGTTGTAACAGCAAGGAGAAAAGCTTGCTGCGATTTTGAAGGCCCAAATCCAGTTGGGTAATAGGTTATAAATAGCAGATTGTAACCTAGGGTTTAAGTAACTTTTGAAAATGTAACATTAGGGGTGTTTTAGGAGGTAAACCTGTCGGTGTGTGGCAAGGTTACCATGTATGTAACTCGAAACCTGTAGGTAAGAGTTTTAGTGTTCTTGGATGAAGCTGTGAAGCAAGTCCAAGTATTTCTGCATTACTTCATAATCATTGTAGTGTAGGAAATCAAGTGGGAAGGCACTGCTTCTTGGGTAGGAGTAAGACTTCTGTTGCTGCGGCAATAGGAATGGAAACTGGTAGGTTTCTATCTAGGAGTTCCTAGGTATAGGTTGCACTGGGTAGATGATTAAGTGAAGGATGGGAACTTGTTAAGTTTAGTCCTGAATTAATATTGCTAATAGTGGATCTTCTTCCTGGCTTGGTATGCCCCCAGAGTAGGTGTGTTTCACCGAACTGGGTCAACAACTGATTTGTGTTATTTACTTTCTGCCTTGGTTATGTGTTTGATGTCACAACATTCCTCATGACATCAAAGTACATGATTAACCTTAACTGTTCTAAACTTCAGTAAATCATAACCTGGTATGTAACAGATGATGTCTCAGAACATGTTAAGACCTCATGTTGACATCTGTGTAAAAGAAACAGAATTGTGAAGGATGTTCGCTCTCTGTTGATCATGGACAGAACTAGATACATCGTGTGATCTATCCTCTGCACCTTCAAAGTGTATCTGGTACAGCTTGGATAAAACTGTGTGAATGTTACAGATGATGTCAAAAGAGATAAATGGATATCCTACTGGTTTGTGTGCATAATAAACCGAACTAAGGGGTTTGTTTACCTCATGGTATGTGATAGATGATGTTGCAACCAATGTTGAGACATCAGGCTGTGAATGGATAGTTTACAAACCAAAGCTATTTGTTCGAGAACTGCAGATATGGCAACCTCTATGCTTCTGTTATATTGAATATTAAAAATTGGGTATCTACCTTGCAGTGTATGTATTATGTCATATCAGATGTCTAGACATTGAGTATAACATCTGAAGACTGGCATATACCAGAATTTCAGTAGGGTAGAGATGTATGATGGGGATCTTCGTTGTTGATTATGTCAGGAATCCCTCTGGTTTATTTAAATACCCGTTTAGGGAAATTTCACATTGTGTGCATTATGTTTGCTACTTGTGTGTGGTTTGTTTAAAACCCTGCCTTTGAGTAGGTATTCTGCATGTGTGTTTATATTTGTACCCGCATATGTATAGATGATAAGTCCTCTAAAGGAGGCGAGCAGGGAGGGTTTGCAATCAACCCACACAATTTTGTCTGTGTCATCCTTAGCTCGTGACGCACCATGATTCTTTGGAGTTGTGACTGCTCATGTGTATCGAGTCTTCAAGTGGGGAAGGTTCCACAATCGAACCCCCACACTTTGTCAGGAGTTCGCATTGGCTAATGTTGATACTCTGTGATCGTTCATATTGCCTTCTATAGTCTACCTCGATCTCCTATATATTGGTTGGGTGTTCATTCGCTTTGGACATCACATTTTATTTTTCATCTCACTCCCGCTTGTTTGTCTCGGGTGAAACGCTCCCCTTGGCTAAAACATTTGGCTTCTTTTCCTTACCATTTTATGTGCGTGCTCTTCCGAGCTTATTTTCGAGTTAAATACAAGTATGAGCTTATCATAAGTGTATCCTAAGCGTATCCTAGAGGTTAAATGCAAGTATGAGGTTCAATTTGAGGTATTTTCATCATGCACGTCTGTGTTGCGATGATTTTACTTTCAAGCGAACCCGTGATTTTCGAGTTACCCTTGCCTTACCTTGACCTAGTTTTCACCCGTGTGTGGGGAGGGAATTATCATCACAGGTACAGTTGGTGACTATGTTCAGATAGTGACTATGATCAGACAGTGACTATTGGTTCTAAAGGTTATGTTCTGGATTTATGTTAGTGACCTATTTAGATGCTATATTTTGTTGGTGACTATGGGGTTCTCAGATTTATTTTCTGAGTTCCTGATTTTTTTTATTTTGAGGTTCATCCGGGCCTTTGATCTTGGTATTCCCAACATGTTAAAAAAAGCCTCAACGATATCTGATGTTCCAGAGGCCTTGATCTCGTACAATGGAAGATCTACCTGGTACTTGGTTCTTATATGTGCAGAAGTTATGCCAGACCTTTGATCTGGTTATATTTATATGGTTCAAAAATAGTGCAACAATCATGTTCAGAAATGATGGAACTTTGATCCCATGTATTTGCATACATAACATGGTTAACCACATACTTAACATACATGTTCTGTTATTTCCAAGGAATCATATTTGTAAGCCTTGTGTTGAACTTTTCCATCCCTTACTTGGGTAAAATCAAAATCAAAGCACGTAAACTCCTTGGAAATGACGGAACATGACATGGCATCCATTCATGCACCCCATGCATATTCATGCATCCATAACAGGTACTCAAATATTGGGGGTTCTTATTCATACTTGGTGCTCTCTTCAGAGGTTCAAACTTGATTTATTACTGCACATGTTCAGAGATCAGTATGTGATAACTCTGTGGGGGATTGGCCGATATGAAAATCCTGATGGGGTTGATCATGATATACATGCAAGCTTTGGCATGTGGTCGGAAATTCTTCGAGAAGGAAGATAATCAATTAAAGACTCAGGTGAGCCAGGGCATGAAAGCTCTGATGATGATCTCAACAATCTTGCACCTACTGCCGCACAAGTTCTCTCTTCTCCTCATCTTTTGGGAATTGCTTTTAACCATGGAGTGCTACACAATCTTGAGTACTTGGGACATCTTATCAGCATATGTTTCCCATTTACTATGGGATCTTATATCAATGCTTCGTTCTTATTGACCAACGTCAGATGTGGTTGCCACATCGGGGCACCGAACTTTTCAATCAGGGGCATTCTCCATAGCTTTGTGTTCCCTGATTTGTTCAACATCGGCCAGTCTTTGTTCCTCAAGTGAATTCATTGGGCTAGGCTTTTAAGCAAATACATAAGAAGCCTGATGAACATGTTGATGTGATCCCAATGCATTACATCCTGCTAGTTCCAACTATGATCTTTGAGGTCCTCCTCCCACAAATATATCTTCTGATTGCGATACACATGCTAGATGTATCCCCTATTCTGGGGCACCCAGTTTTTATATTGAAAATTGTAAAGGGGTTGAAGTATAAAGTCCAACACCTGTCTGGCATCTCTTCCAAAAGTCTAGTTCCCATTTGGAAAACTGTTGGACTCTTTCTCACCAGGTGGATGTCTCTGTTGTTGTTCTGGTAGAAGACGAACTATATTATTTCTTTGTGGCGTAATATGCTTGGTGATGCAGTTTATATCGATTCGGTTGGTAAAACATTCATTTTCTCTCCTAAAAGAATCTTCTACGCATATATTCTAGGGCACCTAGCCATTCAATTGAAGATGGTATGTCATCCAGAGACAAGGTACAAGATGGAATCAATCCAGAGACTGTTATGTTCATATCAGATTTAAAGTGGAACTCTCTTGCCCATTTAAGCATCAAGACTGCAGAAAGCCGTTAGAATCAAGAAATCCATACGGAGTCAAGTCTCCTCAACGATGGCAATCATTGGTTTATTTATTGCATTTTCATTTGCATTCTTGCTTGTTTGTTTAAACATTGCTTGTATATAGAAACTTGTCTATTTTTGAATGAAAATCTTAATGCAATAAGTATGCTTGTCTTGAAGTGTTCCTTTCATTTTTATTCTTCCATTCGTTATCACTCTTTAAATGTTTTACTTGCATATTGATGCCATGTTTCTGAGTCTTATGCTTAGGTAATGATTCAACGGAGGATGACGATAATCTAAAAATAAAAAAATTCTCTGGTTGGTATACTTTTGAGTAAGACCCTGTTGACGATGTACGTGCCTTGTTTCAATTCCTAAACACAAGAGACATATGGGAGATATACCCTCGTTAACCCCTTTGAGCCTTCGAAGTAGGAGTTTCTTTTCTGTTAAAAAAACCCTCATTTTAACCTTGGGGCAGGTAGTGTTCAGTTAATCTGATCAAGCGTTCGGAACTCATCAAGAGTGAGCATCTAAGGATACAACAATGTTTATCCATCAAAAGGTTGAGGAAAGTCAAAACCGAAATGGTTAACCCTCATCTATCAACAACGTGCATTGATTAACGATATCCCAATGGGTATCTCTCGCAAATCAAGAATCCGAGATTGGATGAGGATACAACAATGGTTATCCCTCATCTACCAAAGACTCAGACAGTCACAGTCACTTCCAAAAAATCAAAGACAACATGAAGATCAACGACTTGTTCAAGAGGGAAATGAATAAGAAAGAAACAAAAAGCTCAAAAAGTCCCGCTAAGTCGAAACTTGTTCCAAATTGAAATTCAAAAGAATTTGTCCGGGAAAAAGCAAGAAGAAATTGAAAAGCCTAAAAGGCGAGAAAAGGATTACCAATAAAAACCCCTATCGAGAGAACAAGGTTGTGTGTTCAGACACCAAAATCAGAAGTTAGTGACTGTTGTGTCCAAGAGGCCTCAGTGGTTCCTCAACCATCGCAAACTCATCTCAAGAGATGAATGCTTGTATCGGGTCAACTGGACGTAGGAATGGAGAACATAATGGAGAATGGGTGGGCGCCAAATAATTTTAAGCCTTAAATACTTTTTTCTAAAACCGTGAACCAGGCCACGTTACGACCCATAAAAAGTCCTAACTGAAGCATGGGTAAATTTGAAAGTGTGCTACAACGAGATAGCGTTTAACTGACTCCTAAGAGGTATGTTTGAATATCTGTGTTAGCGTCATATGCTTGCGTTATCTTTCATAAAAAAGAATTTGAAAATGTTGCTTTCTAGCTAGTGACCAGTTCACAACAGAGTTGTGACATGATTTTCACTCAAAGTTTTTCAAACTTCAAGACTTACATATGTGTTGCATTATAATTATCATTCTCATAATAAACATTCTTCTGCAGACAAAAACAATTGATTTACATCAAGTAATTTTACACAATGAACAATCGGTAAAGAACTCAATCTTGTCAGAGAAGAGAGGCTTGAATACTCTATTTAAGAAAGAGTCAACTGCCACAAGAGATATAACTTATCCATGGGAAAGTTAACCAGTGATTCTGTCAAGAGAAAGCATCTTGGTGCTTCACAGTCTGAGTACCCTTTAGGGATGAAGTTAGCAGATTCCGCCAATTCGGGGAAATCAAGTCAAGAGACGATCTATCCGAGTTCAGCCAGATCTAGGGCATTCCCTCAAAGCTATCAATCATAGGCTATCACATTGATAAATCTATTTAAGCTATACTCAATTAGAGGCTATCACGTTGATAAATCTATTCAGAATTCATTCAACCTCGGGAAGTCACGTTGATATTTGACAAATGTTTCCAAAAAAACTGTAATCAAGAGCAGTTTATTTCGTGACTCAAGACATTGGGGCAGGCCACCTCATATCATATTATGGCACGTATATTCTGGCCTTCTATTCAGCGCAGATCTTCTCAAAAATGCTCAAGACAGGGGCATTCCTCATCCTTACTTGCAAAGTTGCTCAAGCCAATTATGTTGCACGAGACAAATCAAGCTAAAAGCGACATAATGGTCATCCTGATCTAACCAACACACGAAGCCGCCTTCATCTGCTACAGACAATTTCAAACCTGATTCCCCAAGTGAATTCAGAATGTTCGGAATGCACAAGTGCACACCCCAAAGAGCTTAACTGGGGCATCCACAAAGCTAAACCGAGGCATCCCCAGTGGAGTAAATTGGCGCATTCGCAGATTTAAATCGTGGAATTCACAAGTGTCCATGCCCATCTTTTATCCCTAAGTGATTCAAGAGGTAATTCCCCAGTGTGGCGTAAACTTGGGGCATGTATTCAGAGAGATTCACATGGTGTTCGGTATCCGTTCTTCGGTATATTTAGTTCTACCATTCTCAACGGTTCAGGATATAGGGAAGTTTAGCCATATTATCTCTTCCCCAACAATACAATTCATAATTCAGTGGCATACCTGAAGACTCGCTTCATCAGCAATTCAATATTCAGCGGAGTCATCGATAATCTTCGGTATCACGAGCTCCCTAGTGCAAATTCCTATCAGTATCCCTAGCAATATTTGGTACTGCAGCTTTCTAGCGCCGATGTGTATTGGCATCTCCAGTGATGAGCAACAGTTCCCAACGAGCCCTCGCTTATCCCCATGAAGTCTATTTCTTTGAATTTGCATATAATTATCATTACATAACATTGCATCTTCAAAAGCGCGTAGCTGATCTATCAGAATGGATCTTTGCGTCAAAAGAAATTCAAACATGCATACGAAGCATAAGCTAGATCAGGTACCTTACACGAAAGACCCGAATCATTCAAGGACAAAAATACATCCTCCAGAAGAGGAGGTCGCTCCCAAACCTTTAGCATACATCCTTCACCTTCACAATTTCCAGCAAAATCAATACACCTTGTCATTCTAAAGCCTAATTCCCGTTATGGCAAACCATTTTCAAAACTCAACCCCCGTCTGGTAGTCAGTTCCCATCTAGCGATCAATTCTAAACCCAGTTCTCGTCTGGTAGTCAGTCTCTGTCTGACGATCAATTCTAAACCCAGTTCCTGTCTGGTAGTCAGTTTCCGTCTGAAAATCAATTTTAAACCCAGTTCTTGTCTGGTAGTCAATTCTCGTCTGACAAATAATTCAGTCTTCCAACACTCGTTTGTGTCAGTCTTCCAAAAACTCGTTTGTGTCAGCTTCCTAAACACGCGTCTGTGTCAGTCCTCCAAACACTCATTTGTTTCAGTTTCCTAAACACTCATCCGTGTCAGTTATCCAAACACTCGTCTGCTTTAATCCTCCAAACAGTCGTCCGTGTCAGTTTCTCTAAAGGCTCATTTGTGCCAATATTCCAAATGCTCGTATGTGTCTATCTGTCCTTCTAATCCCAACAAATGCAATGCACTTAATTATTCTCGTATCTTCAATCATCATATTTTGACCAATACTCTTACCTTCTTACAATGTTAGATCGCCCGTAGGTCTTACCTTAGGATCTTAGATCGACCGTAGATCTAGATTCCCTTGTAGGTCGCCCGTAGGCCTAGATTTTGGTAGATCGCCCGTAGGTCTTACCTTAGGATCTTAGACCGACCATAGATCTATATTCCCTTGTAGGTTACTCGTAGGCCTAGATTTTGGTAGATCGCCTGTAGGTCTTACCTTAGGATCTTAGATCGATCGTAGATCTAGATTCCCTTGCAGTCCACCCGTAGACCTAGCTTTTGGTAGATCACCCATAAGTCTTACCTTAGGATCTTAGATCGACCGTAGATCTAGATTCCTTTGTAGGTCGCCCGTAGACATAGATTTTGGTAGATCGCCCATAGGTCTTACCTTAGGATCTTAGATCGACCATAGATCTAGATTTCCTTGTAGGTCGCTCATAGGCCTAGTAATTTCGATAGATCACCTTAAAACATGAGATCTCCCATTGGCTAGGTTCTTCTTATCGATCTTCTTAGAACCCGAGATTGTCCGTTGGCTAGGTTCTTCCAATAGATCATCTTAGAACCTGAGGTCGCCTGTTGGTTAGGTTCTTCCAATAGATCACCTTAGAACATGAGATCGCCTGTTAGCTAGGTTCTTCCTATAGATCTCCTTAGAGCCCGAGGTCGCCCATTGTCTAGGTTCTTCCTATAGATCGTATTAGAACCTAAGATCGCCCATTGCCTAGGTTCTTCCAAATAGATCATCTTAGAACCTAAGATCACTCGTTGGCTAGGTTCTTCCTCAGATTGTCTTAGAACCTGAGATCGTCCATTGGTTAGGTTCTTCCAAATAAATCATCTTAGAACCTAAGATCTCCCGTTGGCTAGGTTCTTCCCATAGATCGTCTCAGAACCTGAGATCGCCCGTAGGCTAGGTTCTTCCTCAGATCATCTTAGAACTTGAGATCGCCCGTTGGTTAGGTTCTTCCAATAGATCATCGTCGAACCTAAGATCGCCCGTAGGCTAGGTTCTTCCAAATAGATCATCTTAGAACCTGAGATTGCATGTAGGCTAGGTTCTCCAACAAATCACTCTCATGTTTAACCTTAGGATCGTAGGTCTCCCGTAGAACTTATCCGTCGTCCTCTTGCACCAACCTTTGTCTTGTATTGGCATCACGCCACGTTAAGAGTCCAATCTTTGTCTCTTCACTAGAAAACGAAAAACTCTTTCCCCATCAAATATCATAAAAATAAATAAACACGCACACTTTCTTTCAGAACAAATTTTTGGTATTGGTATTTAATCATCTTCTACCTCAAACTTCCGAAAGCCATGCACCAATCGTACTTTCAGGTTTAAGACGATTAAATAGGGGCAGTTATAATACCCCAAATTTGTCCTACCCTTTCACTTTTATCTGGCTTATGCATTTTGTAATTCTCATTTCATTTGCATACCTTTCATTAGGTCATCTAACATAAAATTACATTCAATAAAGCGCCCGAGGTTTAAGGTTTATTGGTCGTACAGTATTTGGGTCTCACAGTGACTGAGATGTATATATCCAATAAATCTGATTTCATTTGATTCTCCTCCAAGCATTGGATTATGGCATTAGGGTTTTGGTTCATGGTTATTGTGGATTATTTCTTCATCAAGGGAAGATTGATTAGGGACTTGTGATCATTATCACTTTTACTGCTCCAGGTCTTATCATCTTCAGAGATTTCTCAGGGCATTCAATTTGTGATAAGATCATTAGTTACCAAATTGAAAATTCTTGGTAGATTGAAATGTAAAGCACAGATTATGGCGAAGATGATGTTATGGATTTACATTGTAATCAAAGCCATTGATAACATTTATCGCTTTTCATTTAAGTTCGTTTTGGATTAAAGATTGAATTTGGAGTTTATCAATAATCTAAGATGATTAGATATGAAATCGATTCAAGTGCCTCCGTTACTTCAACTTTTGTTAGAAATTTGTCAAGGTATCTTAAGATGGGAGAAAGACATTCATGATTCATTTTGAATACAAGGAACAAGACACCAAATGGCAAGACATTTCTCATTCTTTCCAACTCCATTCTAAGTTCATTTAAGTGTTATTTTGATACAAGTTTGTCAAATAGATCAATGTTGAAAGTTTAGAAAGTTTATGCTCATGGCATGCAATATTATCCATGTTCATATTGAGTTCATTCTGCCATACCCCAAATTTGCCCGCCCTTTTACTTCTACAGTCAAAAATATTTTAAACATTGTTTTTATAATATTATTTGATTTTTATAGATGTTCATTCCCAAGTCCAATCAAAAATATTTTAAACATTGTTTTTATAATATTCTTTGATTTTTATAAATATTCGCTTCCCAACCTATTTTAAAATATAAGGTTTTAAGAGTCCTCCTTGAAGGGATGGTCATTTGTGGTTGTAGTTGTTTGCATAGTCTCTTAAAACCCTCACCCTCTACCACTCTAAATGAATGCTCATCAAGAAGTACAAAGGAAGTAATAGCCTTCCTACATGCTTGAGCATTGAACCTTTGGCTTGTTGAACCTAAAAAACCACCTTCACCACTTACAAGGTTTCTTTGAGTGGGATCTTTCTGTAAAAGGTTAGGGTTTTTGTGACACACTTTTGAGTGAGCTAACATGTTAGATGTTCCATGTGTTTTAGGGTCGCATCGATATCTTTTGTGACAATGTTTACACGCAGCTATTGGTTCAGGTTCATCCGGTAAAATGTTAAAGTCTAACCAAACGGTGAAAGTTTTCCTAGATCCACTAGCATTAACTAGTCTTTTTTTCCTAGAAGGGGGGAGAGGAGGAAGTGCGGTTTCTACTGCTTGTGTAGGTTCAACATAGGGAACAGGATGTTCCATCACTGAAAATATTTTGGTCAACAAAAACACTTAGTCCTATATAAATAATGTAAAACAGTTACTTACATGAACAATTTAAATGTTAGACTAAAAAAGATCATGTAAGACAAGACAATACCTACAACTGCAAGACAAGACCATGCATCAGGATACTTAACATACACTAAAGGTTGACAATACCTGCAAGACAAGACCATGCATCAGGATACTACATAGATCAATGCAACTACTGTATTTTCTCAAAGGGAGAAAATGGCTACCATACTCAAGCAACATGCCTAATCTGTGAAAAAAGTTAAATAAAAAATGATGTAATCCAATCGACATTTAACATGTAAAATCTTTTCTATACCTTTAATACATTATAATGTAAAAATAAAAATGATTATATCCAAACATAGCCAAATATTTCACTGATATTAAATGTGTATGGGAAAGACTTTGTATTTATAGTCATGTAATTACCACCCTATACTAACAGACACATGCCTCAAAAATAAAATATAAAACCGACAAACACATGCATTGTTGACAAACTTCACAAAACCAGTTGAAAATGCAGCCAATGCATGATTGATTGTCATTAGGTGACATGAATTCCACATATAAATAAACTAGATAGATACAAAAACTAATATAATATAAATAGTGTGCAAGTTTAATCTAATATAAATTAAAACTAGATAGATACAAAAACTAGTGAAATCCAAAATTTAAACATGATAAGAAAAGTATTATCAATTTCACGTTTCACTCAATGAATAGCAAGTATGTTGTTAGTATTACATTCTTATGCCACCAAGAGAAATAAGAGCATTACAGTCTAATAGTATTTTAACCTACAACAATATATAGCATCAAGTAGCATTGAAGGAATTCTTTTGGTTTATACTGAAAAATATTAAGGTAGAGTAAAACACAAGCATAAAGTATAAATTATGAAAATATACATGTCATAAACAATCTAATAGTTACTTGTCAAATTTCTATCTTCTTCTCAACTCGACTTGTTTAATAAGCACAAAGTAATACTTACTTTGATTTGTAGTGCAGAACTTGTTAACAATCCTACTTTTTAATTTTTCTAATCTGAAACTATAAACATTCTAAGGTCCTAAAATCAGAAGATATATACATGAAAATTGTAATAAAATGATAGAACACTTCATTCCTCAATTAATTACTAATTCAGTAACGGCAACGTACAAATGTATTTAAAAAAAAAGTAAATCTTTAACAATAAAATGTAGTAAATACCTAAAACTGAATCGTGGAAGTTCATGTTTCACACTTTGAGAAGATATTTAGATTTGAATATGTGTTCCTTATAAAACTTCACAGCAAAAGTTTAGGTTCAATGGTTCTTTTGGGGTTGTTTGCAGAGACATGCAATGTCACATGCACTGAATCATTCATTGATGCACCAGTTGTAAAGTCACAAATACATTACCCTACATCAGAAGGTTCCCTGTACATTTGTTGAGACAAAAACAGCAGGTTCAGCTTGGGACATAAGCCCCACTTGGGGCCACTTGTTTTCAAAGTTTTTTTCTACTTTTTCTTCTATGAAATTGATGTATATCTTCTTAAGGGAGACATTGAAACCGACTGGAAAATTAGAATAGGACATATTCTTAGACAGGTTCTATTGTGAACTAGTTTGAAATATGTTTAAAAAATTCATTTTGTAATGATATGGTGACATTATTTTTAATGTGTCTCAATACTAATGGCGTCTAATTCTTAACAGGGTGGAGTTGACTAGGCAAAGTATTATTGAAGATGTTCATAATGTGGTGTTACTATCATTGTTTGGATTAGTACTAATCAAGGATGGTATTGGAGTTTTACTGTCTGCACTATTGCAGTCTTGTTCTCAATTCTGTCTATTTGCATGGGAAAATCATTATACAGAAATAATACTCCTAAGGGAAGTCCTCTAATTAGAATCATGCAGGTGAATAACTTTTGTCTTTCTTTCTATATGCTTCAAATTGCTATTGTATTAATTGGACTTGTTGAACTTTCAGGTGTTTGTGGCATCTTTCAAAAACAGAAAACTCCAAATTCCAGAAAATGAAGATGAAATGCATGAGATTCATGAAAAAGAAAGAGGAGAAAATTATGAAATACTTACAAGGACAGAACAATTCAGGTTATAGATACGTTCAAATAAGTCAATCTAAACACTGCGGTAGATAAACTTTGATAAGTACTAATTTGTTTATTTCTTTTGTGGAAAAATGGATTATCAGATTCTTGGATAGAGCAGCAATTGGTAAAAACAGTACAGGATCATGGAACTATAGAAGAAAATATACTCTTTGGAAGTATAAAAGACAAAGCAAAAGCTATAGTAACACTTTTAGATCAGAGTGTAGGATCATGCCTTGTATTAGCATTTGGGTATACTTTGCTCCAGGATCTATTCAGCTGGAGAAACATAATGGGTATTTTGTTAGCCATGGTTGGGATGATTCTATATTCTTACTATTGTAAAATGTACTGGACATGTATCAGACAGATGACTGTAAAATTTCTGCAGTGTTTGGTACTTAACTCTGTCCAAAACCTATTGGAATATTGCTTTTTTCTTAACCTTCTTCCCAATACTTACCACTTTCATTCACACTACCCTTTCTAAGGTATAATTAATTAACTTACATGAGTCTTGAGAATAAGCAAAAAGCCATTGAAGCTGCTGCACTAGGGTTAAAACAGGGGTGGATCGATCGGTTTGTGTTCTACTTTCTATAGGGTTAAAACCTGATACAGGGAGAAGGAGAAGCCATTGAAACAGGGGTTAAAACCTGGATCGGTCGGTTTGTGTTCTGCTAAGTTAGAGACACACAGAGAGAGATAGATAGAGAAAGAGAGAAAGAGGGAGAAGGAGAAAGAGATAAAGAGAGAGAAGGAGAAAGAGAACGAAAAATAACTTACTTGATCGTTGGTGGTTCGTGGTGGCCGGCGTGGTGGCATGGTGGTGCTTGAGAATCGTAAATGACGACGGTGGTAGAAGACGGCGTGGTGAAACCCTAGCAGCAGAGATTAGAGAGAGTGAGAGACTGTGAAACTGAAATGAAATAGAAAATCAGTAATAGGCGGTCGGTTTTGGATTTCGATGGACCCAAACAACTTATCCGAAACCGACCGGTACAATCCATATGTATCCATTTCTTGCAAAACCGATTATCCGATAACCCGTTTAACCCGAACCGCTTACTACCGGGCCGTTTGGGTAGGTCGGATTGGACCGGTTTCTTTATTTCTGTCCAGCCTTACTTATAACTAAACAATTCAAACACCATAGCCCTGCAACTTCCAGACACCACATCAAAATATCATTCAAACTTTTAAATTCATCTTCTTATCATATTACCGGAAAATATAAAAAATAACAAAAGTTAACAACAATAACTGCAACACTAATTTGTGCTGAAATTGTAACACAATTAACAAAGAAGTTCAAATTAGTATCAATGTTTTTTTTCTTACAGAAAAGAGAAGAAGAATACTCAGATTCGATACCGACGAAACAGTAACAAACGTATCCCTCAGATGCCGCCGAGACTCTCACTACCGAGATTCTGACGACCTCGCCTCCTCAAACCACGAGCAACCCATTTGCGCTTTAGATCCGCCGCTCTCTACCCGATACCGACAAGAACACGTTATGAATCAGATGCTGCGCAAAATGTCGTCCCATCGGAGACCCACACGCAAGCCACATGGAATATCCGACCAAGCCGCACACCGGTCGCCTGAGGCTACCATTCACGCATCTCTCTGATCCTCTCAAGTGTACCTCATCACGCCCAGCCCACTCCTGCCGACGACCACCTCGGAAGCACCACTACCAAGATTAGATCTTTTTTTCTCCTTATTTTGATTTAATGATTTCCCTCTGTTTTCTTCTGTGTGTTTTCTTGGTTTTGTTCTGAGATATGTAAAAAATGATAAGAGTGATAGATGAGAAAGAAAGACATGGTCTAAAGAAGTCTCCTTCTCTTTATCATATACACGTGTTCCTGGGTTTTTCTTTTTGGTTATAACATAATTGGATGAAGGTTTTAATGGGGAAAATTGGGAAGAATGTAAAGCAGTATGAGGGAAGAAGGATTAGTAGAGAGAGAAAGATTAAGGGTAATTGGTTTGTTTGTTTTCTAATTTAATTTATATGGTTTTCATTTTAATTTTTTATTGTTTTAATATAAATTTACATATGATGTGATTTGTATATATTTGTATTGCTGTAAAGAAAAATAATCATACGAGATAATGACGCCTCTCATGTCCGCCTCCCACCCACTTGTTTGTAAATTTTTGTTAATTTTCTTCTTTTTTAATTGTTACCATAATTTTAGGTTTTAGGGTTATCATGTACATCTATTTGGGCCTTAGGCCAGCTTAGTCAATTTCATATTATTATTCACTTCTTACTACACCTTCCTAATTACACTCCTTTAAATTATATCTTAATGATTTGATTTAGTTCATTTAGTTTTAATTAAATTATTGCTAACATAAGCTTTTAGATTAATTTTATCATTAACAATTAACAATAACAAAACAAAACATTTTACAAACCTTTTATCATTAATTAATTTAATATTTTACATCAAAATATTAAAAATCCGCGTAACTCATCAAACTATTACATCCGCAAGCGACACGTGGCCAATATCTGGCCACGTGATAAGGAGACTATATCAGACTCCCCCGCTCTACGTATAAAAAAAACACTCCGACGAACATCCAAATTATTTTTCGTAATAAATTAATTCAAATAATTAATTTTTAAAATGGAATACAAATATATTTAAATTAACTGTGTATTTGGTCTAACAAACTCTGCTATTCATACTCTTAGACCACGTACGCGAGAAATTTAAATATATTTCGCAATCCATAAAAAACACAAACAACCCCGCAAACTACGGAATGAGACTCTGATTCCTCCTAGGAGGATACATAGGCATACGATAAAAAATCGTGGCAAGCCTCCTATCTAAAATTCAAACCCTTTTTTCCCGCTAACTAGAATTCAAACCTTTTTCCCAATAATAATTAAAAATCCTATCTCCTAAAAATGAGCTTCTAAGCCTAGTATCCTTATGAACAAGGTAGATAAGGGGTGCCTAACACCTTCCCCTTGTCTAGAATCGAGTCCAAATCTAGAATCTCTAAACTTTAGGGTTATTCCTTTATACTCCCTTCCTTTAGGATAAAAATTAATGGTGACGACTCTCTGATTTAAAAACTAGTTGCAACACATTTCAAGAATTTCATGGTACTTCATTTGCAAGATAATTGGAAATTTGATGTTTAGGGAACAATACATCATTCAAGATTACATCCAAGACCGTTACAATATTACACCATAGTCATGATTCATTACAAGTTATATTCACAAATTACCACAGGAAAAAAAACCAATACAAAGTATTTATCCTGAACCTAATTCTAAACTCATTCTTTCCTCCAAAACCCATACCATAACCAATTTTCAAGTAGCCGCCTTGCTTCATGTGTCTTCCTGCTTCTTCTCTCATGCTCGAAGTGAAGAACATAACCTATTTTATCCATCTTCCATCTTTAATTGGACATGGCTTAACATCAGCTTGCCTTTGCAACAATTAAAACCCTGCACAATAAACAAAAGGGCCAGTTCACACTAATACCGCTATTGTGTATCTACGACTTATTCCAAGGTTTTACACAAATTAGAAGAAAAGAGTTAAGTCAGAGAAAATATGAAACATAATCTAAAAGCTCTTCTAACCGATTCCTCACTATTCTAACCGTCAAAACATCCAACTATATAACAGAAAAACTAATCATAATTTCGAACCCTTATGACTTCCTCTCATTTCCCTCTTAGAAAATATCCGTTCTACCAACCTATAATGACCAAAATAGAATGGACTCTTCAAAAAATCTCCAGCTGGCTTCTAACGAAATTCTAATTTCCAACAGAATTTAACTCTTAAACTGTCAAAACAGACTCAAAACAATCCCAACCTTCCAAACAACTAACATAATTCAACAAACACTTTCTAACAATTCCCAACCGAATTTTAACTCCCCATAACCTCCTAATTAACTGTAACTAACTCAACAACCAAAAAAAAACTTCCAGCAGCAAAATAACTCAACAAAAAAAAACTTCCAGCAGTAAAATAACTCAACAGAGTTCCAATTCCAGTAGCAAAATAACTAAACATAATTCCAACTTCCAGCAGAAAAACAGCCCTAAACTAATTGTCGTAACCGATAACAGAATTCTAAAAGATCTTCTAACCATATCCTAACTGCTCTTCTAACAGTTTCCAACCTTCCAAAAACAACCATCTAATTATTCATAACCACCATAACATAAACTAATTCCCTAACTGCATTAATAGAACTAACAACCTCTAACCAACTTCTAACCATAACCCCTAACTGCAGCCAAATAGAAAAGGCAGAAAACAAAAAGAGAGGGAGGGATTTTTTCACGATTCATATAGAAAAATCATTCATAACCAGAAAAGGGGGACAAAAACTCACCATATTCAATATCCTCCATTCTTCACCTTGAATCTCATATTCAACAATCAACGTTCATCCTCTATAATCACTCTTCAACCTTTCCAATTCTCTGAAAAAACCACATAACAGAAAAGGGGAAGAGGGGGATATGATTGATAACAGAAAAATCTCAGAAAATTCACCTCACCTTCCATCCGAAAGAAGCTCTTTCACCCTCTTCATCTTCATCTTCCTCGTTTCTCAATCCGCCATTCTCTCTGCATTTTAATCAAATCGTAGCAACTTTCTGCAACTTCAATCATATTCCGCAAATCTTCACCTACTCGTGCATCTTCATCACAAATCTGCAACATTCAATATCACATTCATCACCGCCTACATCTTCAATGTAACCGTTTCAATAATATCTCTTCAACCAATTCCAAAATTTTCTCTTCATTTAAATCATCTCGACTACAACTCCAACAATGAACAACACTGTGACAACGACATCTCGCAAAAAAAAACACGACGAATCAAGAATTCGCACATACAGAAGGAGAAAGAAGGAAATTAAATAAAGAGGATTTGTACCTGAAGAGATCTCCATTAACAAGTCAGTTGTTCCTCCTCCTTTCGCCTCTTTCTTGACACGAATGTGAAGAATAGACTAATTATAACTGATTCCTTAATGTTGCGTGTTTTGAGCTTCATCCATGGTGTCCAATTTAAGTTCCCATCACCTAGGGTTTTGATTGTTCTGTGAGATCTTGCTAAGGAAGATAAAATCAAAGAAAGCCAAGGGAGGAATTATGATTGAGAACACAGAAAGAGAAAGAGGATCTTGGATGAAGAGGACAAGGCGAGTTTGAAGACAGCGGCGGGAGTTCGTTGTTCACGACGCAGGCGATTGAGAAGAATAAGGGAGAAGTCTGTTTTGTTGAAGCTCAATCGTCTCAGTCCGTAAACTCAAAGCACCGTATCCATCCTATTTTCATAATTGGATTTTTTTTCTTACATTTATTAATTTTAAAATGCTGAAAAATAAAAATCATTGGATTAGAAAGGCCAAATAGGGGTCAAATTTGCATCCTTGAGGCCCATTAGGGGTCTTTTTGTAGCCATTTGCTTTGCAAGAAAAAACTGCATGATGGGCTCAAATTGAATGGGCTTAGCGCCCAAAGTCCCATTGTTAGAGTACAACACTAACTCCAAGTTGCTCCTCCTGATTTCTTTGATTTCCCTTTTTATTACTTGTTTCAATATTATTTTGTGTGATATTATTGAACAAAAGAGATTTGAGTAAGGAATTTCAAGAAGTTGCGAAGCTAGCTAAAAGTATAATTTTCATCAAAGGAATTAGAGGAAGCTTTTTGTAGAGTTTTCTTATTGCTTGCATGGTTATGAAGAGGCAACAAACCTTCTCTGTTCGGTATTATCGTGACCTTATTTTATTCCTCATTTCCGAACTTTACTGCTTTTTTAGAGATCATGAGAAATAGGTTTTTACTGTTTTCTGATGCCATGAGAAGTAGGGTAGAGATGTATCATGGGGATCTTTGTTGTTGATTATGTCAGGAATCCCTCTAGTTTATTTAAAGACTCGTTTATGGAAATTCTGCATTGTGTGCATTATGTTTGTTACTTGTGTGTGGTTTATTTAAAACCCTGCCTTTGAGTAGGTATTTTGCAGGTGTGTTTATATTTGTGCCCGTATATATACATATGATAAGTCCTCTAAAGGAGGCGAGCGGGGAGGGTTCATAATCAACCCCCACAATTTCGTCTGTGTCATCCTTAGATCATGAAACACCACAATGCTTCGGAGTTGTGCCTGCTCATGTGTATCGAGTCGTCAAGTGGGGAAGGGTTCGACAATTGAACCCCCACGCTTTGTCAGGAGTTTGCATTGTCCAATATTGATACTCCATGATCATTCATATTGCCTTTTTTCGTCTACCTCGATCTCTTATATCTTGGTTGGGTGTTCAGTCGCTTTGGACATCACATTTTGTTTTTCATCTCACTCCCGCTTATTTGTCTCGGGTGATACGCTCCCCTTGGCTAAAGCATTTCCCTTCTTTTCCTTACCATTTTATGTGCGTGCTCTTTCGAGCTTGCTGGTTTTATCCTTGTACATACCATGTTCCCTTAGGATATGCCTGCTGTGTTCGGATGCAAGTTAGATCTTAGGTTGTAAACCACGCATGCTAACATTAGGTAGAGATTTCCCTTTTGTTAATCCAAATCATAGGGCCACCAATGATAACATTAGGATAGAAATAGGCTAGTCCTCCGTAGACTCTTTTCTTTCCTTTTTGCATCCTTGCATTTAAAACTAAAACCTTTTCTTTAGCAAATCATAAAACATGCTAATCACACTTAAACCCCTTTTCAAGGTAACAAAATACAAACCAACTCAAACCCTTTTGTGTGCCCAAGCACCTTTTCTCTAATTCCCTTTTCAGGTAAGGACATGATTAATTTACTTCTGTGCCTACGCATAAGTCTCCAAAGGTCGAGCTACAGAAGAAGGCAGAATTAACATTGTTAATAAAAAAACACAAAATAAACAAAAACATGTTAGCCAAACTACGATAACTGATTCCTCAAAAAGGATACGTAGGCATTGGGGTAGGGGCCAAGCGAGTACAACTTTATTTTCCCTACATTCTTTTCTCCTTTCCTTTTACATGCACTCTTACTCATTAGTAAAAAATAATCATAGATTAAACACCCCTATAAGATAGATAACAAGAGTGGATACCGTAGAGTACTATGAGCATGTGGGGTTCTAATACCTTCCCCTCGCATAACATACTCCCTTACCCGATCTCTCGATCGCAAGACTGTGACTTCTCCATTCTCAAGTTTTCTCGATGTTTACCTTTCCCTCCATGTGGGATAAAAGACGTTCAATAGTGACTTCATTGTTTGATGATTTCCAGTCGGTTGTTTTAGTGGGAGATGGACCCCTGATCACTATTGTATTCTTTGGAAGCACTGGTATTGCTACTCGCACTTTTGTTAGGATTAGATCTCCACATGGAATGATAAGCAGTTGCTTTGCATAACTTGGACCTTGGTAAGGAATCACCAATGGTCTTCTTGTATTCCTATTGGTTGCAACTACATATCCTTCTTCAGGGTAATACCTGAATTGGACCATCCCTTGATCCACCAATTTCTTGAAAGTGTTATCGAAGGCATCATTGTGTTCCAAGAGAAATCCATGTTCCAATAAATTCTCTTTTAACATATCTAACAAGGCTTTTACTCTTTTAACCTCTCCATGATTAGTGACGATCTCGATCGTGTTGACAACTTGACCACCAAGTTGAGGCATGGGGTTCATCTTGATATTGGGCTTATCAAAAGTAATATCTTGGGAGTCCAATAAATCTTGAACCTTGTGTTTCAATGCCCAACATTTCTCTATGGTATGTCCTGGAGAATTGACATGATACTCACACCTTGCATTTGCATCATATTTTGGCGGGAGTGTCCCAATTGGAGGATTAAGTGGCTTTAGTTCTACCAAGGATTCTTTGAGTAAGTGATACAGTAATTGACTGTGTGGCATAAGGAGAGGATCAAATCTTCTAGGAGGCCTTTCTAACCTACTTTGATGTTGTTCTCGTGGGATCACCAATGGTTGTGGTTCCCTTGGATGTGCTGCAATAGCATTAAATTCTCCTTCCTTTTTTTCGAGAAGTTCAAAGTATGCTTCTTTGGATGATAAAGAGTACTGGTTGATGTTCATTGTATATTGCCACTTTTCACACCTGTTTCAATTCTTTCTCCAATTGTCACCAAGTCTGAGAACCCTGAGGAGACACTGTATACCATCTTCTCATAGTATAAACCTTGTTGAGTATCCATGAACATGTCGACCAATTATTTTTCAAGGAGTGGTGGTTGTACATGGGATACCATTTCTATCCACCGTTGAACATATTCTTTGAAATGTTCGTCCTTCTTTTAGGACAAATTCTGAAGTTGTGTTGTACCCCAATTTTCGCCCCTTAGATTCCTCTATCAT